TCGCGTGGCCTCTCTCTGTCTGGTGAGCGACCCCACCCATAGCAAAAAGCTCCCCCCCCAAAAAAAAAACCTCCAAAAAAAAAGAGGGATCATATATAAAATAATATATATCATGTGCTAAATTCATAAAGATAGAAAACAAAAACATGAAGAAAACAAAAACATGACATATAAATCAGTCATATTATTAATATGACATATGAATGAATTAAACCAATCAAATGCAGAGATTATCAGTTTGGTTAAAAAACATTAGCTCCATTATATATGCAACCATCTATAGGGAACACATTTTGCATTTAAAGATCCAAATAGGTTAAAAGTAAAGAGATGGGCCCATGGCCTGGGTTAAGGGAGTCAGATCCCACATGGCCAGACAGGTGGTTTGAGTCCTGGTCTGTAGCTTTAGAAATACACCAGGCACTTGTGTGTGCATACCCCATGATCCTACAGAGAAAAAAATTTAATAGAAGGAATTGTGGTGTGATCTCACCCCATTGGGGAGGTGCTTTCTTCTTCTCCCTCTTTCTCTATCTTTCTAACTCTCTCTGGTAAGCACACACACCATCTGGCAAAAAAAAAAAAAAAAGTAAAAATATATAAGGGGATGAGAATGTTATGCCATATAAACAGCAACGGTAAGAAACCCTGAGTTATGTAATTTTATTATGTTATGTTAGTATTAGAAATATTACAACCTTATCAGTGTTATCTTCCATTATCATATTTTATATTAAAATTGCTGAAGTTTTAAAAAGTTTTTTTTTCATGAGTGAGAATGACAGAGAGATCAAGAGATACAGATAGTCATCCCCCAAAGGGTCCTCACACCACAATCCATCCCCAGTCTCGGCTAACCGAGATCATAGCCATGCTTCCAAATGGTTTGTTCTGGGAGGTCTCCAGACGTGAACCTGGGATCTGTCTATTTAAGTGGGTTAGCCTAGCAGAGGAATACATGACCATAGTGTCATTATTCAGTCCTAGAAGACTTACTATATATCTACCCTATTGTTTTACTCATTTTCCATTAATTTCCACATATACTTTTTGTTTTTAAAATATTGCTTTTTTTTTTTGTTAGAGGTCAACAGAGAGACAGAGAGAGGCGAAGAAAGCACGTCCATGGTGAATGGACATGTCATAAGCCTTTCTCCTTCATTTCTCTAACCTGGTAGGGTTTTGAACACAAATATCCATGAACTCAGTGTGTTTCTAAAGCCACTAGGTCCAGACTCAAAGCATGGGATCAGTCATGTGGGATCCAGCTGCCTTAACCAGCAAGCTACAGAGCTGGCTCAAATTTTTAGTTTTTAATTTTCAGGGCTTTTAAATTTCATAATTATTTTTAATACTTTTGTTTCTACTATTTATGATTAGTTTATCTTTGAAGTCTTTACTCAAGCACTGGTAAAATTATATTCCCCAATTATATATGCATTTTAAAAAAGTGTGTGTAAATCTTGTATTAAATTTTAGAAACTTTACGGACTGAATTTTTTTTGATCTTCCATATGCACTTATTTGATGAAGAAGTTTTACGATAATGTGATATGTTACGAGATATAAAATTGATGCATTTAAATGAAGAAGTTTTACGATAATGTGATATGTTATATATATAAAATTGATGCATTTAGTGTCAAAGCAGGTATTTTTAGTGACTGCTTATGGCACTTCATGGGAGCAGATCATTCTCCCACCATCTGTAGCCTTTCCCAATGTCTTTCAACTATTTAACAGGGTCTGAGAAATCTGAAAAGAAGCTGACAAAAGTTTTGGATGGAGTGCAGCTGGTGAAAAGTAAACTAGACAGCTCAAAACAGCCTATTTTTGCAGACAACCATTGATTCTCAGCTATTTTTTCTAAATCTCTGCTGATTCTGAACATCTGCTTTAATAGGATAAGAAAATAAGAGTAAGGGAGGGACAGAGTCATTTCTTCAAAATAATCACAAAGCATAGATTTCTAAACTTTGAAGTCCTACCCAATTTATCAACCATGTGTGCTTCTGTTAATTTTCCTTAAGATCATTTATTTCCAGGTAGAATTAATTTTTAATTTTAAAATAATTATTTACTTAATTTTATTTCTTATTTTTATTATTTTAACTTTGACTTGAAAGAAACAGAGTGAGAAATTGGGAAAATGAAAAAGCAGGCCACCAGATCTGTGACTTGCACCATGGTCGACCATGTAGGAATCTAGCTCCTTAACCACCATGCCACCTGCTGGCCCTTCCAGGTGGAATTTAAATAGGCTATCTGCAGTTTACTACATAAATTTTTGAAGCAAAAACAAATACTTATTTTGCAGTTATACCATACAGGTTGTCTATACTGGACATGTGTAAAAGAGATAAATTTAAAAATGGGAAAAGTACAGAAAAGAAATATTAAAAATACAGATAACTATACTTATATACAAAAACAAGATTTACATGAGATTTAAAATAACTGTGAATTCTTTGATCATGCTATTCAAATTGAATTCTATTCACCACTATCTTTTCCTACTATGTTATTTTTTTTTCATGGCTCTTAACACTCAAAAAATAGGTTGTAATTTACTTTTCTGTTGTATTGCCTGGTTAATACATGTATCTCTCTACTAGAAATAAGCTCTACTATGGCATAAACATTTGTATGCTTTATTACACTCTGTATATCTATTACTTAGAATAATGATTTGTGTTTATTTGTGGTTTATTTCTTTTCAGCTATAGATTTCCTACTGATTAGTGCTTGTTTGATAATATTTTTTTAGTGAAGTCCTTCAGAACCTGTTTCACCTGCTGGTTCCTTAAGGTATAAATAAAAGGATTCAGCATGGGAGCAACAGAGGTGTTCAGTACCGCTACAGCTTTGCTCAGAGCCACACCTTCTTTGGCAGATGTTTTTACATACATAAAAATACAACTCCCATAAGAAATGGAAACTACAATCATATGAGAGGAACAAGTGGAAAAGGCCTTTTTCCTTTGCTGGGCTGAGGGGATCTTCAGAACTGTTCTAAGGATGAGTGTGTAAGAGAGAATCACCAAGGCCAAAGTTAACATGAGTGTGAATACTGCCAAGAAAAATGCCATAAGTTCTAGAATCTCTGTGTCTGTGCAAGCAATCAGTAGCATAGGAGAAGAATCACAGGTGAAGTGGTCAATGATGTTGGAGTCACAGAAATCCAGCTGGAGGCCCATAATCACGGGAGGGAAAATAATGAGGAAACCAGCTACCCAGGAGCTGATAACAAGTCGAGTGCAAACTTTGTTACTCATAATGGTTGTGTAATGTAGGGGTTTGCAGATAGCCACATAGCGGTCATGAGAGGAACAAGTGGAAAAGGCCTTTTTCCTTTGCTGGGCTGAGGGGATCTTCAGAATTGTTCTAAGGATGAGTGTGTAAGAGAGAATCACCAAGGCCAAAGTTAGTATGAGTGTGAATATTGCTAAGAAAAATGCCATAAGCTGTAGAATCTCTGTGTCTGTGCAAGCAATCAGCAGCAAAGGAGAAGAATCACAGGTGAAGTGGTCAATGATGTTGGAGTCACAGAAATCCAGCTGGAGGCCCATAATCACGGGAGGGAAAATAACAAGGAAACCAGCCACCCAGGAGCTGATAACAAGTCGAGTGCAAACTTTGTTACTCATAATGGTTGTGTAATGTAGGGGTTTGCAGATAGCCACATAGCGGTCATAGGACATGACAGCCAGAAGGAAAAACTCTGTTGCACCCAAAAGGATTAAAAAAAATACTTGTGCCATGCAAGCATTGTAGGAAATGGTTGCATCTCCTGTAGCAATACTAATTAAAAATCTAGGAACGCAGACGGTTGTGAATGAAACTTCTAAGAAAGAGAAGTTTCTGAGGAAGAAATACATAGGCGTTTTTAAATGTATATTTGATAATGTTAAGACAATGATAGTCATGTTTCCACTTACACTCAGTAAGTATGTGATTAACATAAAGGTGAAAATCACAACTTGTAATTGTGGGTCGTCTGTAAGTCCCAGAAGAATGAATTCTCTAATTGATGTCTTATTTGGCATGGCTAAGCTCAGAATTCTGATAGTCTGCAGATAAAAAGAAGAGTTTTTTCAGTTTATAATATGATTTCAAATATATTTATAATGCTCTTATTCTTCATTTTAAAAATTCTAGTGGATTAATTCATTTGGCAGAATACCTATAACCAGAATTGCCAGGTTAAATTATTTTTTTTAGTATGAATAAGATTGACAGGTGTTTTATTACTTGTTTGAAAAAGTTTATGTATTTATTTCTTCCATGAGAGACAAAAAGAGGGAAAGAAAGAAAGGGAAACCCAATAGGGTCCCAAAAAAAAAAAAAAAAAAGCTATCAGATTACCACTAAGATAAATATAATATTTCATAAAGTTGTTTCATGACTGCCTTTATCAAATTCTTGCTTTGAAAAAGAATACACTGATAACTTTCTTATTTTTCAAAGAAGTGATTAAGAAAAGGAATATCCTAGAAAGAAGTTAACAAAAACAACAATAATGAAGCAAAAATTACAATGAATTTTATTTACTTCTTTTCCTTCCATTTCCTCCTCCTCTTCTTCCTGTTTTATAAAAGTTCTATTTTATATAGCCTTTACCCTATATACAACAATCCTCCTGGTAGAGTCCATAAAGTGACTCGATTTTCAGAGTAGGAAATTGACATATAGATGGAGTATGTCACTTGCACAAGGTCACATAGGTGGTATAAATACATAGAGCAGCATCCATGTTTACCTTTTATTGCACCATTTCCAGTCTTTAACACAGCTTCAGATTCAATGATATTTGATGAAAGAGATAATTAGTGATTGAGTAATGGATACACAACAATGATTGGTACTGGCCTCAAGATTTAGAGGTTTGTGTCAGTTCTGTGGGCTGCATTCAGCTTTGTATTTAAATATTGGCTAATGTGAATCAATCAGTCCTGACTGACATAGACAGCAGTAATGGAGTGTGGTGACAAAACAGGAACTACAGGTAATGTAAATCTTATTAACTCAATGAGGCAGCTATTCCGCATTCTTAGATACTTACCTGGATTGTTCAGATTGATCTATTGCTACCAGCACTAAGAAAAAAGAAACCAGCCCGGCGATTCTTGAGTTATCCATGAAGGTAGTCTGATCTGAAGAACAGAATAAGAGGGTGAGGCATTGGGAGTGTGCACATGACAATGAGTGGAGTGGGGCATCCTGTGTCTTAGTTTTGCAATCATACCAGCTGAGAGTTGGCTAAGAAACACGACCTAACAGCTTCTTGAAGCAAGCACAGATATTTTTTAAATCTCAGCAAAGAAAATGATGTAAGAACCAACAAAATGCCCACATAAGGCATTCCAAAAAGAGTGTTTGTTAAGAGTTCTATGATTTAGAAACAGCAATGTGGATAAAAAAAGAAATATAGTCACATTAATGTTTGTCCTTGATGGATGCCAAGTCATAGTTTAAATATGTTAATAAATATTTTTCCCATTGTCTGTAATGAGAAACATAACATTTGAGATAAAATGTTCCTTATTTTATACACCTTATTATCAAACTGATTGACCTTTGTACAGGTACTTAATTATTAAAATTTGAACATATTGTCTAAATCACCCCTTGTCACAAACCAATCATTTAACAAGCCAACACTTAAACTTATCAGGATAAGAAAATTCAAACATCATACTTCCTTTTATTCCCTGAAAATTTATTGTCTTATGTTTTGTTTTTCTGGCATTGCCTATTGGTTTTAGGTTTTTTTTAAAGCCTTTCTTCAAGATAAACAGCCACATTTTATGTGCATTGGGATGTATTGTCAGAGGTGTTTGTTTTTGAGGGAAACATAATAGATCTTCCCTAGGAGACAGAAAAAACAAATACATCTGCAACTCAATTTTGGAAACATTAATTTTGTTCCCTTGGGAGTCATTAGGTATTGGTGGAATATATTTAGAATTCTACCTACAGTATGAGACAACTTCACATGACTCAAAGGGAATAACCTGATGAAATAAAGTTTCTTTGCTTATTTGTTTTTTCAAATGACTCTTCTGATCATTATTTTAAATAGAGATTCACTCTGGCTTTCTAGTGTTTTTTTTAGTTGTTTCTAAATTTTCAGATTAATTTCACATTTTATACAAAGTTCCTATCAAGATGTATACCCTTTATTTTTCAACAAAGAGCTTTTCTTTTTTTGTCTTTTAATTTTTCTTCCCTTTGCATCTCTATCACCCACTTTCTACCATCCACTCCCCTCCCTCACAGTCTCTGGTTTCTACATTTATACTCTCTGCTCTCTACTATCAGATCTTCTGCAATACAGGGAAGATCATTTTTACTCATTGTGTAGGGATATATAGTGAGAAATCAGACCCCAGGGAAGATGGCCATGTTGCAATCTCTTTTCCTCAACCCTCCTCTCAGGATTTTGGGCACACACACACATGCACCCTGCATGAGCTTTTAATCCACTGGGGCAGGGACTCGAACCGTGATTAACTATCTGGGGTTCCAGTGACGTGACCATTACATCATCTGCTGGCCCCTATGGTGTGTATCTTTCAAAGTCTGTCTCGCTTCACTCGACATTAAATTTCTATATTCATCCAATTTGAATCATACAGTAAGGGCTCATTGTTTCAGTTTTGTTTTTGTACTTTGTTTTTCCCTTTTTATAAATTTTATTTTTTTACACTTAATTACTGCACCTCTTTACTGAATATGAAATTAATTTTCCCCAGCATGAATTTTCTAGTAAATTTTAATGAGAAAACATGAATTATGAGATTGGAATGTAATTTGGGCCTAAAGAAATTCTTTTTTTTTATTTATTTTTTATTATTTTTTTAGTTTTTATCATCATATCTTCTTCATATTACATTGGATTACATATAACTTTACTGTGTATTACATTGTTTCTTCAAAAGGGAATGCCATGCACGTCAGTCAGTACAGAGACATTAATCTCCCCACTTCAACATTCCATATCTTTTCTGTTTTCCCCAATCATTATCTTTATTATTCTAATTATTTTTATAAAACAGTCAATTGCTATTTCTCGTTTTGCTTGTAAAAATACTTTGCCCATCATGAAACACTTCTCAGACCAATCCAGTTGAGAATTCTATACATGTCATCATCAACAGTTAATAAGCCCTATCTGTTTCTCACTAACGTCCTGTCTCTCTATTGCTCACTTGCTATCTTTCTCTATCCTCTTCTCTTCACTTACCCCATTCCACACTGTCCTATTCTCATTAAGTACCTTCACTTCAAGAATGGTAGAGTAGTTCCTGTTCTTCCCTGAGGCAATGCAGGGCTGGTAACCATCATCTTCTCAAGTTGCAAGTTCTCAGACCTTGTTTTCCGCTTCAGCTTGCTGGTCCAAAGGCCACACGCCGGCCCTGGAGAGGCAGCTGAAC